TGCGGTGGGCCGGCCGTAGCGGCTGAGTTGTGACGTCTGTCGCATCGGTGGCCGGTCACCGTCCCCAGGGGAGGTCTCGGCTCTGAGTTACTCTCGACAGGTTCAGCTGCGCAGAGTTACAGCGTGGTCGGGGAACGGGGCGGCGAAAAACGGCGCTGCTCCCCCCAGCTGCCGTGGAGGGTGATGTCGTGCTACGGAGCCTTCAAATGGGAAGATGCAGAGTTAGAACAGTGGGCCATGATTACCACAGAGACGCGGCATTTCCTTGCTAGCAAATCACGGGGAAGGAAGCCCTCTTTGAAGTCCCTCATGAGTTGACTGGTACGATAAATCACTATTCAATTTGTTATTTTCACCGCAAAACTAGGTCTCTGCGTCGTCGACGAGGGACCAGCATTACTGTCAAAACTACTCTACTATTCACTAATCTCGTTTGAACTCGGAGTCGAGATGGCTTTTTCAATTCTGCCGGCGCCGGCAAAGTCGGCCGCGCCATCCGACGGCGGCGGTTCATCTTCACCCAGGGGAGCCGCACAGCTCTAACTTAGCTACTGAGTTCCGTCGCAAACGTCGAGTCGGATACGACAGCCGGCGTTTTGTACCGTAACTCATTTCGACTCTGCTCTATAATTGCTTTCTCCTTTTTGGTCGTTTTTCGTTCTCATTTCTCCGTACCGGTAGTCTCGTCTTGCCTGGTTCCGTCCTGTCTCATCCAGAAATGGATCTCTTTTACACTGCCCCGCACCATCGACCACCCTTGCATTCGCCCCCCCCCCCCCCTGCCCCCCCCCCCCCGTCGGTCGTCGGTCATCCATCGTCCCATTCCGTCGGCAGCCGTGTAACTTCCTCGGTAACTACTCCGACCAGCGCCGCAAGAAGCCGTCCCACCGGACGACGGCCGAGCTCATTGCCGAGCCGTTCGTCCGGTGTGACAAAGGGTCGACGTTTTTCCCTCGCCGACCGTTTGCGTCGGACCGGACGTAGTCGCGACGGATGGACCGTCGTGGTGCAATGGCGCTGTCCCCGAACGGTGACCGGCTCGATTTTCGACCGGCGCCTATAAAGCAGCGGCGTAACGCAGCGGAGTGCGGCGCCGTGCAGTCGGTTTGACCCCATAAGTACCCTCGTAAATCGGAGCGGTAACCAGGGGTCCTACAGACAGTGCTGCTCATATGCGAGCTACATGCAAACCAGCTGGTGGGAGTGATGCGATGTGTGAAGCGGATGTTTGGATGAGTTTCGCTGATGTAGCAGCGTGCCCCCTGTCATCAGATCATCGTTTTAACGGGGAGCAACAGTTCAAGCTGGAATGAAAGAGCTGCCTCGTGCAGTGATGTGTCGATTCCATCTAGGAAATCCTAACTCGGTTATATATCAAAGCTCACTGAGTTTCTGAACTCTGATCTTAGTGCGATAAACCGGCCGTTGTGGTAGCGGTTAAGCGATGCCCTCTCGATCTTACATCAGCGGACAAATGGCCCGAATCGCCTGCTGTCGGTGCTGGCCGAAAGGTCAGGGCTCTGTACAGTGTACACTAAACCGAGGTTCGGCTGAAAATCAGAGCCGCTGCAGGGACGCGGTTCAGTAGGTTTGATTACTGACTCGGATACGGGAGTTGTGTTACACAGTCACACCTGAAGTGTGGAAAGGTGCCAGTAGAGGCTTGATGGCCTAAGCGTGGGTAGCTTCAGTGCCAGGGGCTGTTTTGCCACCAGCCGAGTCAAGCTGCAGTGAATGTATCAGTACTGCTTTTGCATTCTCTCAGTTATATTCCACTTTTTAGCTGCCCAGATAAAACTAAGCTAAGCGAGTAAGCACAAGCGAAACTAAATCGGTGACAGTATTCCGTTAAGTTTATAAGACGTCAAAGTGCCGGATAACTGCGAGTTTGTTTGTTGAAATTTAGACGATCGTTAGCGATGAGTTCATTAGGCATGGTAGCCGAGACCGCTCGACTCGGGTCAAAGCGGATTCAGCAATGGTTGCCCGGGATCGAATCGCTTTGGCGTTCGCTCGTTTGGGCCATCAAGGATTGACTTCGAGTGGCTGCGACCGCAGCTCGAAATAATGACTGGATTCCGATGCAACCAGCCTTGTTTTCCCGTTCAATATGCCACACGTGTTATTCAAATAATATCGTGTGATAGGAATAGCACATTGGACAATATAACCCAGAGCGCACGATGCTAGGTCTGGTTTATGCTGGGCTTTATTGAGTATCGCTGGAACACATTTATTGAAACTAAAAATATGAAGATATGAAATGTAAAATATAAAATATAAAACACATCTGAGATGATGGGCTTCCAAACTGATCTCACGAAATCTGTGTGGGTTGACATGACTAGAAAGAATTGAACTAAACTGACCGAGTTAAGTTCCAAGTGAGTTGAGGTGTGAGCTGAGAAGTGAAAAGCTGCGCTGAACCTGCTCACCCACATGAGCTCGTCACAGGTCTGGTCAGGGGTTGCCGGTAACGCTGCCTGTTCTGCCGTCCTGGCCCGCTGATGACCGACCCACAGCTGACCCAGTGCCGGAGGCGCTGGCCCGGTCGATCGTTACGCTCAATATCGGACCGACGACCTTGGTTTTGACACTTCAATTTCGCCGCTGATAAACTGTACTATAGCGTTTTATTGGCTTGGAGCATGTTGTAAAATTTTCAAACTGAGTGCATTTAGGGGAAATGTTGACATAAAGATTGCTGCCTGTGGCAACATGGCTTCTATATGGCTCATGAGATACATTGATGGAGTGCTGTTACGTTGTTTTACAATGTCTCGATGATAAGGGGCTGAAAACTCGCAATCAGATGGCATATTACCTGAAAATATGGTTCTTTCTATCTATAGAAAACATCGGCGTCCTTCGCTAAAACATCGAATCTACATACCTTCCATGGACTGTTGCAACTTTACGAGGACACCTTATCTTTCATGCCTATTTAATCACATACAGCCCTTAACTTGACCACAAGGTACAACACCGTACATACTGAATCATTCCTTTTCAATTTGACGGCTGATGTGCGGACGATACACGGACAACCGACACGTTAATAGCGGCACGCGCCATGCATCAGTGACGAGTCGCGGCGCCGTCCTCGCTGTCGGCCCCGCTGACCTCGACACATTGATCGCCACGCGGCGGGCTATGTGTGCATTAGCGACAATGCATTAGCCGTGCTGAGATAATCCGGCCGACTGAATGCCACTGCGAGCTGGATCCGCGCCGCCAGATAACTCGGGTCACTGACAGTGGCTGCCATGAGTCTTTCTTTTATCGCACCAGCGCTGGCTATCATCGTCGCTATGGTACCGGCGCGGCGATGCGCTCTTCTGAGATTCTGTTTCCAGCGTGACAAGGGATAGAATGTGGCGACCACGACAGCTGCTGTGGCGATTTTCTGTATGTGTTGACACCCCGCGGTTTGGCAGCAGAGGTCAGGTTGTCTCATGGCCGAGCTCGTGACCCCGCCGCCGCCGTCTGGCGGCACTGGCGACGCCAGCGGAACTCCGGATGACCACAAAGTCACGTTTTTGTGCCGTCTTTCTTCATGAGTGTCTGCTTTTTCGCCAGCTGATACAGTTTACTGTGCGGAAAGCGACGCTGGCGCCGGAGGATGTGGGGAACAAATGACCTTGTGTCTGGAGAGTTCGTCTGGGGTCTCGGACGATGACGCAGAAAGTAATGAATCCACCCGACAACTGGGGAAGGGTGACGAAAGAAAGACAGATGTGGATGTGGATTATGGCTATGTAAATGTTAATAAAATGCAGGGTGAAGAGTGCTTTTCAAACTTCTGAACCGAAACATTATGAAAAGAGACGACAAGAAGTTGTCAACTTTCAGAAATAATAGCATGAGAGCGAGGGCGCCTCTGTAAGCCCAGTGAGGGCACCAGGGAAGGTGACGAGTCGACGTCGAGCCCGTTGCCACAGGCGCCGCGTGCCGGCCAGTCAACACCACACAACGAGCAGTCAGACAGAGGGGACCAGTGCTGGTGACTTCCATTAATCACTGGTGGGGGCTCTCACCATTTTTCACCGCCATTGGTCCAATACCGGCCGGCAGACGGACAGACGGAGGGTGTCTCCCTCCACCTCTCCCCACCCGTCCCCGGAGTCACCCACCAGTCACTGCCCTGCCGCTGCCGGCGCGGTAACTAAGTGCATAACGGGGGCGGGTCGTCGTCCAGACCCGGTGTCACCACGGCCGGCGGCGGTGTCACCGGCGCCATTAGCGGCCGGTCCGACTGCGGCCGACCGCGACGTTCATTAGGACTGTAATTACCACCTGAATCGATGCTAAAGACGGTGATAACCAAGCGCCGACAATAAATCATTGATACGACCTGTCTGCTCGGGAATACGGCATGAATGGCGGCGCTGCTGTGGCGGCGGCGGCGGCGGCGGTCCGGTGGCGATAAGCGGCGCTCCGCTGCCGGCGGACCGTGACGCGGTGCTGTGACAGGCGGGCGGGTGGCGGCGGCACGTGATATGGCTCTGTGAGTGCCGGCCGAGCTGCAGCAAGCCGACACGCAGCCGCGTCAGGCTAGCGGCCGTCGCAGGCGACACGGCACGGGGCTCGGCCGGACCGCACTGCTGCACGTCGGTGTGTGCCTCCCTCCGCCGCCCGCGGCACACCGCCGCACCCTGCCACTGCCGCCGTGGGGGCGCACCGGGTAGAATCGGCGTCCCAGGGGTCATGGAGTGAAGGTCGTGCCATGCTGAATTATGAGAGGATGAAAACAGAAATTATATAAAGAAAGGAAAACTGGTCACTGATGAGCTTGGGGGCTGGAACACGGCGGCTTAAATAATTGGAATATTTTATTTAACTTGAAAGTGACAACATGCATACATCGTCGACTTCTTTGAAACGTTATCGGGATAAGATAAAGAATGATGAATGTTAAGCCTCAATGCATAGCCCTTTGCTGTGAACCCTGATGCGCTATCTTCCTGGCGCCATAAGCTAACAGCTGCGTTTACTTTCAGAGGTTAACAGCTGGTGATTCTGCTGGCTCCATACTCCGAATGTTCCACCTCACCTCGCAGGATCTGCTAGCATGCTAGTGGTGAGTAGTTAAGCCACTTGGCCCCATGCGTGGCGAATGCCGAGCGTAAGGTAAATCACAGCGCGGCATTCACTGCTGTGGTATATGTTTCAACAGTGTTATTAGCTCTATGCTTATCGACGCTTAAATTAGTGGTTCTGAGTTTGTATTGTACTTGCCTAGTTATTACCGCAAGCGAGCGCTGCCACGTTTTAAGTTGGAAGATGGATTAAATACTGGTCCAAAATGCCTCCCTGAAATTCGCATACAAATAAATTGAAGAATTCACTGCACTTATTACCTACAACAGTATATACCTAGTGCATAGTGCAAGGCAAAAAATGTGAGCTATTAAATGTTCTTTGCACCATGAAATGCTTGAACTTTTCCTTTTCTTACAAGCACAGATGTATGGTTTGCATTCACTTATATATTTTGGCTTGGGCCACCGGTTCGATATCAATCTTTTCTCATGAATCTTGCAATTAACTACTTTGTCGATGCATTTATGGTTATATGGCATTCCACTACAACAATACGCTGTTCCACTACTGTACATATATAGAGAGGAGAGAAGTATACGGGAAAGTTTGTTGTTACCCTTTTCCTTGCCGCAAACACATAAAAAAGCAACAACGTTAGACCCAATCACCTATTGACGGATGAACCTCAATAGACACGTCATCAATCACTGTACCTACGGCGGAAGCCGCACTCAGTAATGCAACGAGGCTTCTTTAATGCATTACATAGCCGTTTTCCCCACCCTTGCCGGGTTCCCGTGTGGCCGGTCATTAGTTGCCGCAATGAGTTCCTCCATCCCTCCTGCCTGCTCCGGGGCGCGGTGCCTCGGCCATCTAATTTATACCTCCCCTTCTCGTTCTATCAAATCCGTCATGATTGCCGCTGTGACGGCCGGTCCGCCCCGACAGAGTTCCTCTAATCGGACAGCGCCCCGGCGCCCTCCTCTCACGTTGCACGTGCCAAATAGCGGCGGCTCATTTGGTGCTCATCCAGCGATGTCGGAGGCCCGGGGCGCTGCCTGCGAGCGACCCGCGCCGCTCTCTCGATGGTGCCGATAGTGTCAGCGGCATTCAGCGTGTCACGCGGCCACCGGCGGCGGGTTCATCGTGCCCTGTCTCGGCACTGGCTTCATCGAACCCCCTCCAATCACGGCAGAGATCATATTGACTGTCGTCGTTTCGGCGACACCCGTCGACAGCTCTTGACACCAGCATCACTTCGCACGCTCTTCAGGGCGGAAACGTAGCCCGCCACGTGCGATAGCTATCATGGGCGTCCCGGAGACGGTGGCTCTTGATTGAGCTCGCTCATCCGCCAAAGCCGGCCCGTGAGAGTTGCGCGAGAGCGGGGCCGTCGGGCTGGCTCGCCGGTCAATCCATCAGCGGATGTTGCGCGTCCCGGCGGCGGCCGCTGGCCCCCGGGGCACCGGCGTGCGGCGCCCGTCCGCCCCCGTAACTGCACCTCATCTGCCGATCTGCCGCCTGTCTGATCGATACAGCTACAAATACAGGCGCTGCCGGCGGCGGCGTCCTCGGTCCTCCGCGCTCCCGAGGGAGGGGGCCCGTCGCACCCGGCGCCGGGAGTGTCGCGGGTCGCGCTGACGGGTCGACGTGGACGGGTCGGCCGGGCGGCTGAGACGGGAGGCTGCCGGAGTCTCTGTTGGCGTGAGAGGAGCCGAACAGATGTTCCATTAGCCACTTAACGGGATCAGGGCGGCGGCATCCGGCGTGACACGCGCGCGCGCCTGCCGGGCTGCGCTGTCCCTTGGTCGGCCTCTGACGTCTCGGTTCTGTCGCTCCGCCATTCCGACTCCAGAATCATCCTTCCTGTGTGGCTTTCTCGGCGTTCCTGCGCGGTCTCATGGCATAGGTAGCTCTGTCGTCAGGTTGCTGAACTCTGCCTGCCGATTTTATGCCATCCCGGGGTCTCGCAACTCTGCCGAACTGATAATGATGATGAAGATGATGATTTGGGGGTTTAGGGCGTCCGGACTGCGGTGGTCATCGGCGCCCATTCCGCCGGACTTGTTGGTCACTTACTTTCGTACTGAGCTGTCTGCTCGCAGTGAACTTTCTGCCTGTTGGCGCAGGTCCCTGCTATCTCGTCATCGATGTCTTTGCTGTTTTGCGCTGGTCTCTGTCGTCTCGGTGGACTCTCTTCCATTCCGGTCTCTGGCCTCTGCCTGTCGACGTGTTGGTCTCTCTGTGCGCGTCGGTCGACTGTCAGAACTGGCAGCCGGCTTGGACCGACGCTAAGTGTGTTTGGTACCAGGTGGCTGCCGACGCGCGGCACAGGAATGCTAATCCACCGCTGCGGGCACTCCAGGGCCGCTTCTGGCCGCGCGGCGCGAGTATTTCTCCCAGAGATGGTTACTGGCCGCGTCTAACACTTCCTTTGTGGAACCACCGGCTGTGTGCGGGTCCGTAATGTGAACATCAACACCAATTGGGTAACGACGTAAGGCGAGTGTGCCAAACAAACAGCGGACAAACAGGGGTGAGCGCGCCGGCAGCTTCCCGTTCTCGCACGTGCCCTCACGTTGTATTATTGATGTTACACCGGCTCAGCGCTCGAAGGGGGTAATTTTGTGAGTCGCCAGCACGCGAGGAAACGTTACCACCAGCGCGGCTGGGGCAGTGGTCGTCTCTGTTTGACTCCCCGCTCCTTGTCTGAAGCTCGTTGCGCGGTGGCACCCCGTCTTGCCCCGTCTGTCGGGCGCGGTCGACCTGGCGCGCCTGATGGCCATTTGACTCAAGTGGGCCGGCCGGTGCCGCCCTCGGGCAGTAAGCTGGGCCGTTTCCTGCGCTGATGAATTGGTGGGGCGGGCGAGGCGGCGACATTGGCGTGGCACCCCATACCACCTCGGGTCGCCCCCGCCTGCCCCGCCGCCAGCGGTCCTGTGCGGCGCCCGTTAGCACCGGCAGCCTGCCCGGCGGCGGTGCGGCCGAACAGAACACAGCCAGGCTGACGACAGACGCGGCCCGGCCGGCGGCCGAAACGGCCCGACCAGCACGCAACTGCTGCAGAAGAATGCAGTCTTGTTGGAAATGATGCATGACGTGCGTTACGACCGACTGGTTCATTAGGGACTGCTCCCAGTATTGCCTTATTTCACGCACTTGAAAAGAATGCATTTGTAATTACTCGCCAAGAGAGAAAGTTTTCATTTTGAATGATCATTAACGTCGCTCTTGAAGGATGGCTTCTTGGAATATTTAATGAGCCCTCATCTCAAACACACGTGAGTGGATAGTCACTAATGCGAATCTCTAGATGCCATTATGAAGTCCCGTGGTTCGGATTCGCCTCGCCTCAGGGCCCAAAGGCACAGTGGCGATGCAGAGACAGGCTGGCCGGCGGTGCGGGCAGCCGGGCCCCTCGTCGGAAGCACTTCCTCGCTGGCGTTGCGTGTCGGGCGGAGAAATTTAGAGGTGCTTAGCCGCGGCGTTTGGCGTAAGTGTTTCTTACGGCCGGCAGATCGATACCTTAGAATGAGCTCGCTTGTCGAAATTACGGCCCGAATAAATTGCGCTGAAGGCAGGGAAAATTCAACAGGGCGGGGCTAACACCCTGCCCATTGGAGGCATAACTTGGAGGCAGTCTAAATCAAAAGCTGCTTAACTAGACGTCCACATGCCAATCGATCGCCTTTATTCGATGAAATAAGTCGCCATAATTGTTTAGTAGCTGAGTCATAATGATCCAACAAGGCACCGACTTTTTGCTAGATGAGTAAATGGTGTTGTCGATATGAAGCAGCGCTAATATGTTTTTACATGGGGTGACAGTCTCGAATCTAAAGTTACCCGCTACCCGCAAGTGGTCATACTAAAATGCTGCTCGCTGCTTGTCTTTGTTCTTTGTAATGCCTAGCACTTCACCAAACACTTCTTGGCACTTCCAGTTATCTGTATATGAAAAGCAATTTTTTGAGGGAAAGCCTTCACCCATAAAATTAAGTGGGCATGGCTATTTTCGCCATCCGTGTAGGGCACTGCGCGGGCGCCCAGGTTTTGCCTATTTTGCCTGTACTGGTATACTGTGCCGCTCGACACTCGTGTCCTGCGGTACAGTATACCGCGCAGGCGTTTCTCGCACCGCGCGCCAGCGCTTACTATCTGACTGCATAGACTGTACCGCAATACAGCTATACGTGAGACGGCCGCGCCTGGCCCTTGCCGCTGCGGTCAGATATGCTGTCTAATTGCAGAGTTTCCGTTGCTGGCCTGCAGGCGTGGTCTTATTTATGAACAGGAAGGAGGGTGCATGTTCCAACCACCGCAGCTGGTGTGGGCTATTCACACCAGCGACTATGTTGACCGGGCTCATGAAATATGATTAACTGCCGCTTATCGTGAGTGCTGCGAACATATTGCGGATGTGGCCGAGCTAACGTATTGTCAGAACCTCAGTGGGTAGGTTAATTGCACGTAATAGTTTCAGCAATGTTTTGACTTAACCAGTTTCTACCTTCGTCTTTATCAATCTACGTTAGATAATGCTGTTTTTATGCATTTGTATGGCTCTCACTACCTTTACAAACGATGGGGTTTTCGGCGAAATGCACCCCACCTCATCATCCTGGAAGCGGAAAGTATGTCCACCATCGGTCATATTTGCGTTCCCGTCATGTGTCGCATTTGTTTCGGGCGTCTTAGTTGGATTTGTGCGGCCTGATCCATATCGGTGTACTGTATTTCCATCCAATATGCATACATATGAAACTTACTCCCCCACACTGCATAAGCGCAATGACTTAATCAAATCACTGCTGCTCACTTACGATCTGATTACCGAAATGGACGGGGCAAACGAGATAAAAGCAGTCCTGCCCCATCATTCGTCACAGACCTGATGGCATTAGCGCTCGCGAGGGTGCCTGCTGTGGTAAAGATATCGTCTCTTCTCCAGTGAGGGACCAAACACCCTACTTTGTACTTACCGTACAGTTGCATTTTGGGCAATCGTGTCCCTAACTGGACTGGATACATTTTACTATTTGTTAAGTTCTGCCCCCTGTAACTATCGTCTTTTTATCACCGGTTTGTTGTTTGAAACGATCGTCCGAATTTCCCCGTAATACCACCAATAGTACAGCATGTTCCCCTAAATTTTGTTAATATCCTTTTGTTAAGAAACATTATTTGAATGAATGTGTGAAGCCATACCAGGCTGATCGACAGCGTGTCTATTCGACCAGCCAGCGTTAGTAATTTGGCCTCAAGTTTTGACGCTAATTGGTCCGATGGTGGTAAGCGACGATCTCTTATATCAGAGGCAAAGACCGCTCAAACCCTCAGTTTACCGCTTTGCTGGAAGCTTTATTCCTACGTAAAAGCGAAAGAGCTTTTACCAGCTGGCATTTAGAGAATATTGGCTCGACATAATTCTTATAAGTGCGACATGTCTGAACAGTATTCAGGTCGCAAAAGACAGTCGGTGAAAAGCAGGAACCATAAAACACTATTGCTTGAACATGTGAAATCATTACCAGGATTTAAGGCGTAAGTTTAATGTTTGGTCATCAGTACCTGTCTCACTAGCCTTTTGTAGCTAATTAAAACTCATTTGAATCGAGAACAAAATAGGTCACTCATTGCAAATCCTAAACACTGCTTAGACCTTTGTCCCTTGTCTGTCGGTTAGACATATTGCAATTCATTTTATATTTTATACGAATGCTTTGCAGGATCCTCGTCCCGTGATGTGCGCACATGCAAGATGCATATTGCATATGCATCCTTTCATTTTGTGATACCCTCAAGTGGTCCACTATCTCACCACATGCTGCTGCTCCAATTTATCTGGACATTAATTTCCCATGTCAAATCTGAAGCCGGCTCTGTCACGTTAGCCCACTAACAAAGCCGTAAAGATGGTAACGAGCGCGGCGCCACTGCGAGCGGACCGGGGCCGTGATTTGGCCGGTCGGCAGGGGCGGCCAGCAGTAGCCGAGTGATTACACCACCCCGTGCCAGGCGCCACGCTCCGCGGACCGGCGGCCCGCCGCGCGCTCCGCCCGGCCGCCGCCCTCCACGTTATATGGCTAGTTACTCAGGCTTTAGTAGTTGATGGAAGTCGCTGTTACTCTGCCATATTGCCGCCGGAACAGAGTTACGATGGCGACCGCGTGTGGATGGCGGAGGCAGCTCTAACGCCCAACTGCCGGACCGTTCAGACGCAGCTCTAACGAGCGATGCAGAGCAGCACTATCCGCCGCTATTTGGACCATGCATTTAGCACGAGTGCCCCGGATGTGTTCTTCTTGTATCATGCATATTGGGCCGATGCATTTCCCGTGTCTGGAGCTGCCTTCTGGCTAATGCATGCGGCGGCGGCGGACGGCGCAGCTGTTCCCTATTGTGCCGGACTCGGAGCCAGAGTTTGCCGACGGCTGTGCTGGCGGGGATGCGCCATTGTCATCCCGCCCCGCTCCCGCCCCCGCTGCCTCCCCGTCCTCGCCTTGTGTGCCGTCCCGGGCCGGTATTGTTCGGAATGACGACCGAAAGCCCACCGCGTCAGCTGGTAACTGTTTCCCCTGCTGCCCTTTCTGTTACCTGATCCCCGCGCAGCCCCTGCATCGCGCCATAGTCCCTCTTTAATCACACCGTCTTTATCCCGCTCCCCCTCTAATGTTTCTCTGCTCATTTGGAGAGGAAGCCTGGGCTTGGGCATACACTAGGCTACATTTAGTCCAGTGCAGTGAGCAGGCTTATATCCAAGCACTCTGTCAACCTTTTCCAACTTGCTGCGCGCTGTTTAATTTATTGAGCAGATCTAATCGGGTCGCATAGTTTCCGTATCGGTTTCTTCGAATAGCTGTATGCTCTCGCTAATCCCCGGCGGATTCGGGCGCTGACAGGACAGGAGTGTAACCCCTGACCTCTGACCCCTGACCTCTGACCTTTGCCTGTCTGTGTGTGGCAGTGACGCTCCGATGATGGACGGAAGGGGCAGTCAGCGGTCCAACTCGTCACCCGGCGGCAGAGGCGTGCACCGCAACAGGAGCAACGAATGGCGCCAGCGACAGTACGACAGCTCCTCGGATAACGATGAACTCGGTGAGTGCGGTCTGGGTGGGTGTGATGATATGCACTCACTCAACCTCGTATGGTGTGGTATTGTGGAATAACGATCCACACACTTCTCTTTATCCAAGAAAGATGAAGTTGAATGGGAAGACAAAATACCTATTTTTTCATCGGTAAAAATGTTATAGGCTCACTATCACATAGCTCTATCGAAATTTTGACTGTGTTGATACCATTTCGCGCGGCATCTTTATCTGTATGCCAAAAGCGAGCTTGGAAGCCAATTTACACGCGAAATGTACCATTTGGATCGGCTTTGGTTCGATCCGACCGCTGGCGAGCTCTATTTGAAATGGTCGACACGTGGCGAATCCAAGGACGCTGTTCGAAATTCGGCGAATCTGTAAAAGTGAGGCTTTAGCCGGACTGGGCTGTAAATGACAATATATGCTGCAATATGATGTGGCAGTAGTGTGATATGACAATCATTCCGCTCTGTACAGCGCTGCATGGTTAGAGTGTCCGTGCCCGTAAACCTCTGGCAGCCCTTGGCCAAGTAGATCGTGAAAATGACACACCGTCACCAATAAGGTTCACCGGTCTTTTTATGTCTTCTTCATACGACCGGGAAAATGGCGTAGCACGCGGAATCAGTAAAATTGCATTCGTTGGAGTATCGCATGTTGAACCTTTGCAGGAAGTTGTTTTCAATTACTTTTTTATACGCCAGAGACTTATTTCTTCAGTCTAGATAATATATAAATTGTTTGTTTCTTTACGTACTGACGGCTTTAGTTCCTTGGCCTGTCACGCACAGATGCTGGGATATACATAGCTGGGATATGCATAGCTACCACTGAACTCTAATATATACTGGAAGGAGCATTGGTGACTTGTTTTTGTCTATCGATTTCCGCCATGTTGTGTATACCAGAAATATAAATTGCATGTACGGTACACTGAGAAAACAGTGTCCCGATTTTCGGGCTCAGAGACCAGTTTTCGGGCTAATGTACCATATTCAAAACAGACAGCACATTTCGAGAATACTTTCTGAGCTAGCGCCACATGGGCTCATACGATCCCTTAAATCGGTATCATTGATCGCAGAAACAGAGCTCAGTCAGTACCCATTATCGGTGTCAAGCTCTAAAACTAGTCTCACTATGATACCAGTTTTCAGCCTGATCCCCATTTTCGAGCTCACCTGATTCCAGTTTGAGGGCTCAAATTGTGTGGTGAAGCCAATATTAGGGCTCACGTCATCGCTTTTCGGGGCTTTGGTAAAAGCTGGATTGCGTCAGCTGGCTGGCCAGCTGGCGACGCACGAAAGGTATTTAATTTTAGATATACCTAAGCGCGGTAGTAGGATGGACATAAATATTTCAAATGGCTTTAAATGAAAAATTGATTGGTAAATATTCATTCTTTTATATCTAGCATTGATATGTAAGAAGCTCTGCTAGCGCCACCATACGGCGCCAGCTGGCAAAAAATCCAGTTAATACCAGAGCCCGCTTTTCGTCCGATGCAGCCCCTCCTCCCCCCTCCCCCGTGTCCAGCAGCTGCGAATAAGACGAAGCCGCGGACAAACTTTTTTTTTGCTCGGCCAGCCTAGCGCCAGTCTCGAGCGGTGGGACAGTTAACCGGCAATTTTGGCCGGGATGCAAAAGTTACGTTAAACCGGTTTATGTTACCCCGGGAGCAAATAACAACGTGGGAGCCTATCTTAGGTGTGGCAAAGCTAACGGATTACTTACTTGTTGCCGAGGTGCCCAAAGAAGGTACTGGAACCGAAAACACAACATTGGTTCATGTATTTATTAACATTCATACACACAGTCATACTTGTGCAAGGTGTCAGTGTTCGGTTGTGGGGTGTAATAGCCAGGGAAAAAGTTCTATGAACTGAAAAACCCGGCGCCTATTACTTCGCAACATGGTTGTGTATTCAACATGAACTGCAAGGAGTGCAGACGACATTGCCTGTGCTAACTTAACGTCTCACGGGCAGCGCCGCGCTCTGACACCTTGGTCCCAGAAGCGGCGGCGTTTCTGACCGCAAATCGCCGGAGAGCCGGTCGACGCCGTTGAGGGGACTGAGCAGGCCGCTGCCAGCTCCACCTTCACGTCCGCGCGGCGCAGCTCGGTGTGCGGCGGCGGCTCATCGCGCGGGCCGCACCCGTCCGTCCGCTGCACGAGCCGCTTTTCGATCCGACAGCGCAACACCGGCACGCCATTGTGCTGGCTGAGCGGCGGCAGCGGCACGTAGGCAACAAAACAGTAGAAATCGATGGGCCTGGATCGGCGTTGCCAGCAACGCCGGCAGCGGCGCGGCGGGAGGCGCCAGTGCCGCCGTCGGGGACGTGTGCCCTTCGCTGCGCTCATTCGAGTTGGCCGGCCGGCCGCGCGGCGTAGTCCTTTTGACACGGTGCGAGAAGAGCCGGATGAAGGTGGACTTTTTATTGGCGTTGCTGGTGCTCACGCCGCCGGCGTCCAGTTTGGGCGGCAAGTCCGAGTACCAGGAGTCGGACAAGTCCCGCGCGAACGCCGCCAGCCGGTCGTCGTCACTGCTGGCGGCGGCCCGCCGACGGCGCTGCCTCAGAATCGGACGAGTCGGTGGTACTGAGCACCTCGCGGGACGGGTAGCTGGGAGTGGGCCGGCCGCGGCCCCTGCCAGGCCGCGCCACCTTCACCGGCGCAGCCGCCTTCAAACTGCCCTTGCTGGGCGGCGGGTTGGTCGGCGGAGGCGGCAGCGGTGCCTCGACGTCAGTCCGAGTCGCTGTCACTGGGCGGCCGCCGCGGAGACGGCTTCTGTTTGACCCGCAGCCGGCCTGGGCCGGCTCGGCGCCCTCGGCCGGCGGCGCGCGCCGTTTCGAGCGTTTCACCTTTTCACTGTTACTCTCGCCTGGTCCTCAGCGTCGAGCGGCTCGGCGCTGTTCGGTTTCATGTGGCCCATGCTGCTGGGAAACTCGGGTGGGGACAGCTTTCTGACTGGAGTGCCGTCGAAGATGGAGGAGACGGGGGTGCTCGCAGAGTCCTTGCCCAATGCCCATGATAGAGCCGAGGCTCCACTGGACGCCCAGCTTAATCGGGCTATCGCCGCCCTCCTTCTATGGTGGATTCTTCGGCCCCCTACAGCCACTAGGGCCATCATATACTCCCAGATGGCGGCACCTAGGGGATGAGGGGGGGGGGGTGTCTGGGCCACTTGTCCACCTCGTGGCGTCGCCAGCGACGCCTGCGAGTCGGAGCAAATGATTATGGGGTCTTCCTCGAAGGACGGGTGCTTCAGGAGATGTTGCTTTGCCATTTTGGGCGCCACCATCTCAGATCGGTAAATGGAGCAAATCCTCCCCGCCGCCTCCCGCAGTACCAATGTTGTACTGTCTGGGTGCTCGGTGAGGACCCCAGCGCCGCCTTCCTATTACTCCCCCGGTCGCAGACCCGTCGACCCAGGCCCACGTCGCACGCTGGGGGAGCGCTCCCAGTCACGCCTCCGCAGCACTCCTCCTCGCTGTCGCGGACGCCCCGATCGGCAGCAGGTCCAGGTGGACCGTGACGCCGTCTGTTGGCGTCTACGGGGGCAGTCTCGTGGATAAGCGCGCCTCGGCGGGCAGCGCCACTCCAGTGGTCCCACACCGCTCCCCCGCGCTCTCTCCAGCCGGTCACTGACTTCAGTCACGGTTGGGGGGGGGGGCTTCCGCCACGACGCGGCGGGTCCTCCGACGGGAGGGAGAGCGCCTTCGCCAGTAGGCGCGATGCCAGCGCATCCCTCCTCATCTCTCCATCGGCACGACGCCCGCCTCGGCCCTCACGGCGAGTCTTGGAGCATGGAAATCGGGCAGCCAGTGATGACTCATGCCACCATCAGCATCTCCGCCTCCAGGACGCCAAGATGTGTGGCCGCAGCCGCAGGCAGCCACGCCGACCCCGCTGCCCGCATGCCCAAGTAGTCTCGAATCGCTGACACCTCTCCTGAAACAAGAGTGGTGTCGTAAACTTAAACCCCTTGCTGGAGCCCGCCAGCCGCGACAACACCGCCACACCAATTTTTGTGACCCCGGAACTTCCGTCCCGAGCCTTATTTCACGGCACGATGCTACAGTGCGCTACACGTATTGTGGTATTCAGCTTCCATGGAAACATCAACTAATTTGGACGCTCAAACATGGGAGTCAGGAGTGGTTAACCCGCGCCCCACTGGGGGGGGGGCTATTTATAGCCCCCCCTCCCGTTTTTCTGCAATAACTTCCAAACCGCTTGACGTATCGACTCCAAACTTTCAGAACCTTCGGCTGCATCAATTTGACACCTTGTGTCAAAATTTGAACTTCGTACCTACCATAGGTCGGCCGGAAATGACGTCAGAGTGACGTCATGTTCGGCCGATTTCGACGCAAAACATTGAACCACGGCAATCGCTCCCAAGAGCTCAGTTTTTAAGCTAGATCCAATTTCTTTGCATGAGAGGACTCAGAATAGACTGCGCTATCAAACTGCTATCTCGGATTTTCGAAATTTTGAAAATTTTGAAAATTTTATATAATAAAATTCAAAATTTGTATTTTTACATTTTTTTCAAAAACTTTTTGACTTTTCGAAAAAAACCGGAATATATGTGATAGAACGCATTATTATGACTAACTCTAGCAAGTTTTAGCTAAATATCTTCAAAAATGGCCAAGTTATACGCATTATTGCAAAAAATTAACAATTATTAATTTTTCAAATCAATTTTTCAGCACGAATTTGACATCGTACGCCAATATAAATAGCACCATCGTGTTCCTGAGCTTAAACTGCATCCAATAGACACCTTTTTTGTTGAAAAATTTTAACTTCAAAATTTGACCTTTTTTGACCTGAAAGTGACCTGACCTGAGCTAAATTTGACTCAAAATGACCTCGAATGACACAGACGACATCAAATTCGAAATGTTTGGCCTAAATGGACCATAAAACATGTGTCACGTGACCGACGGATGATATAATATTTTCGTGACCTGTGATGACCTGACCTTGACCTG